CCCCGTTGACTCCTGCCACTCTCACTCCGCGCGTATAGGGTGGTGCAATTGCTTGATCGGCCGATAGAAGGCGGCGGCGAGGGGCCGCCAGTGCTTCGAGGACCGGATGAGAATCCACCATTCATGACCCCGTTCGAGCCGCCAGAATTGGGGGGAGAGACGAGATTCCCTCGGTTGAAGCCGTCGTCGGCCATGGATTGGTACTTGTCAATGCCGGACCATTCGCTTCCGCCTACTGAGACTGGGGACAGTGGCGCATTTCGTCCATTCATGGTATACTGGGTGGTCGAGGAGGTGGGCGTGACGACGGATCAAGCAGGTGGAACTCGTCGCGAGTCAAAGATGGTGTCGGAAGATTGAAACAAAGGCAAGCTGGGTTGTAATTACTTGTGGCTTGGGGTTGGGTTGCTGCCGTGTCGCCTTGCTTTTTTCTTTCTTGAGTGCCGATCGGTCAAGTACAAGCTGCCAAGGGGCTCCGCAGCGCGTTGCCGGTGTAAAGGAGGAAAACCGAAACAAATTGATAAGTGGTGTCGAACAGAATGAGGCTGATACCAAGGGCGTGAGGGCAGGAGATTTCGAAGTTGTGGAACGTCGCAGTGCTGGTCAGGGTGGTTGCTGGACTTCGGAATGCCTCGTCTCGACTTGCCTGTGGCTGGGGGCAATCCAGGGTGGGTGGAATCGATAACAAGATCCCAGGTGAATATCGATTTGCGTTGCTGCAGGACTCACACCTCCTATAATGGAGTGCAACGACGCCCTGGGCTACCGTGATCGCGATGCTAAATAGTGTTTACCCAAGGCAAACCGAAAAGACGAGAAGTTGAGAAGTTGCCGGAGCCGGTGGATGGACCTGGGGACTCGAGAACCCGCGACGGCGTGGTGAAGCATGAAACGTCAACCAAGTCCAACAGGGGAAGTGCGACCAAGCCTCCAATCAGAGGCCGCTTGAGCCAGGTTCAGAGCGGGTGGGGACGTCCAGAGATCTCGTGGGAAATGAGCCTACAAGTCTCGACAAGTACCCTGGGGCCCCTACCCGCCTGCGCTACAGTGGGCGACCTGAAGTCAGGTACAGCAAATGTACTCAGCCCCGTTACTCCAATCTTATTCGTCCCCTTCAACCTCGTCACTTCTCATTCTGGATGCTTCCCAGGGCCTCCCAGGGCAGGGACCAGGTCCTCCCCAGTGTCCTTTCCAGCTTCTCCCTTTACTCTGTCACTGTCACAAGTCAGCGAATTTCCGTCATTTAAGCACCACCGCAATTCAGACATAAGCCTCAATGCCGATGCACCCAGTCTAACGCCATCATGATCAGCAGCATTGTGCATTCATCTCGACAGGCATACTCGCTTCGACGCGGCAAACCTGCACTAACAGTCGATCTTCTGACTCGTGGCGAGGGAGTGAGCACCAGTATACATACCCCTTTCCCATGCCCCTCCTACACCGTCTCTAGCGGAGTACGAAGCCGCCAACCATCGGAGCAGTTTCCAGCCCCCCCCCCCCCCTTCTGCCCTCCAGCCTGCTGGCCCTTAAAAAAGATGGCCTGCAGGGAACTATGGTTCAGGGGAAATCCAGGGCACAGGACACGCCTTATGGTCTGGCCCGTTCGATTTTCCCGCGCGCGCTAACAGACAAGCCAGGGGCCCCAGTGTCTGTGAGTGCAGCAGCCAAGAAAAAGCCTCCCTACTGGTGCAGCACAGCGACAGGATTCACCCTGTCTTGACCTACCGCCAGACCCGGCGAGCTGTACAGTACATCGACTTGACTACCAACCCCATGGACTCGCCCACATATCCCTTTCCAGTAGACAACCACCTTCGGCCGACATGTCAACTGGGGCTGGCCAGGATGCCAACGAAGCCCCGTTCCTCCGCCACGTCTGGATTGTCCCTTTCGAACTTGACGAAAGCTGGAGCGTAGGATCCCCAGGTCAACCATTTGATTGCTGTCGTCAGCCATCTCGCCTAATCAGGTTGATCGAACTTTTTTTTGCCTGACCAGGGGGCAAGAAACCCGGAGGAAGCGATGTGGCTCTGATGCCCTGCCGTGGCGGCAGACGGACTTCTGTACCAATACTCAATATGCGTTGAGTATCTATTTGGTCTCCAAGCCGCTCTCCGTCATCCCGCTACGGCCATGTAGCCGACATTGTCTCCGGCCCGTGGCTTGTTGCGGTTGTGCAACCTGCCGATACAGACCGCATTCTCTAGTTCGCGGCACCGAGAAGGTTTGTCGGATCTAACGGGCCCGGTGCCCGCACTCGATCGTTCCTTGCGCCAGAGCTCGTCAATCGCCGTGACACCTCGGCTTATAATTAGCGACCAAGATATCCGCTTGCCATGCGGTAGCTCGAGCATCGATGGTCCATGAGAGTGATGCGTCGCGCGAATCCAGCATGGGCGACTCTGACGATTGTGCACGCCATGTCTGCAGCCATTCGCTCTACACGCACCGGCTTGGATTTGTCTGAGAACAACCCACGCATGGGACGACCACGTTGTCTGCCAGATATTGTTTGGACACGAGATGCATAAAAAAGAACCGTGGACCCTGGGAAATGTTAAATCCTTTCGCGTTCTCAGCACCCCGATCTCGTCCTTACACGTCAGCAAGGTTATCTAATGTTCAATCCTGTCACAAGCTGGATCTTCTCTCAACGATTTCAACTCTTTCGATCGCTGGCCAACTCAATCATGACCATGACTTAAACTCAGTTGGCCAAAAGTTGTCCAGCCACACTTGCGCTGTCCACAGCCGTTGCGGTTTGCCCATCTCACTGGCCTGGAAACACTACTGAGCACGAGGAAACTACTCTCGAACCCGAGAATTCCGCTTCGGATATCCTGGCATATGTTCATTGCGTGTTCTATCAAATGCTGAATCGCATCTTGCGTAGACTTATCCAGTTGTTGCATCACAGGGTATCGTCACTATGAGATTCCGCCAAGGTACGCTCATCCAGAAGGCTTCAGCATGGTGGGGCGATCCGAACCCGCGGCTTCGTATGTGTCGGGTTCGGGGCTGACCCGAGGTTTGCGAAGACGCGAGCGATCGTACTTCTGCATCCACCGGCCGCTGGCAGAATAAGCTGGCGGGCTTTTCGTCATGGCGGATGATATTTAAGGAACTTACCCGGCAGGATGGTGGGTGTTTTGATTCCCTGTGGTTGAACTACTTGACCAAGCGTGGCTCACGAATTGCTGGACGACTCGCACCTTCGTTCATGGTCCTCGCAAGTCCCGCAGGTTTCTAAGCGTTCTTTCCACCATCCATCATGTCCGACAACGATCAAACAAGTGGCGCCGGCGGCAAAGAGATCGATTTTGTTCTGTACTATTACGAGCCTGCGCTTGCAGCTAGTATCACATCGACAGTTGTCTTTGCTATTCTGACAGCACTGCATGTATGGCGTCTCCTTCGGGCCAAAGCTTATTATTTCACTGCATTCACGGTTGGTGGTCTATGTAAGTTCAGCCCAGATTAACCCCTCCCCCGACACGGGGCCTGTCCTCTTCAGTCTTTCGCACGCATAGAAAACGTTTGTGACCAGCAACATAATTATTCACATGACTTGACTAACTTGCCTTCAATCTATAGTTCAAGTGGTTGGCTATGCATTCCGAATCTGGGGACACTTCGACCCTGAAAGTGTCATGGCCTTCGCCATCCAGGGCACTTTTATCCTCGTGGCCCCGGCTCTCTTCGCCGCCTCTATCTACATGATTCTCGGACGCCTCATTCGCACCTGCCGTGCTGAGCACCTCTCGCTCATTCCGGTCAACTGGGTCACCCGCATCTTCGTTCTTGGCGACGTTGTTGCATTCACCGTCCAAGCCAGCGGCGCCGGCCTCTCTGCCGCCGGGGACTACGACCTCTTCAAGCTCGGCGAGAAAGTTATCATTGGCGGTCTATTCGTCCAGATCGTCGTCTTTAGCTTCTTCGTCTGCACATCGGTGCTGTTCCAATACCGTCTGACGAGGAGCCCCACGCCCGTCTCGATCGAGGGTCGTCTGCCGTGGAAGAGGCACTTGTACGTGCTGTACGGAACCAGCGCCATCATCCTGGTGCGTAGCATCTTCCGTGTCGTTGAGTACATCCAGGGCAACGACGGGTACCTCATCACCCACGAGGTCTACCTTTACATATTTGACGCGCTGCTGATGGCCGGCGTTATGGCCATCTTCGTTGTGTGGTACGTTGGGGACCTCGAATCGAAGAAGAAGCGCAAGGCGGCCAACCTGGACTCCTTGCACTCGAGTGACGGAATCGTGGAGATGCGCAGCAGGGATGCTTGAAGGGCATCGAGGTGGCCAAGCCCAGTGATGTCTGGCCAATAGGTTGGCCGGAGAAGGCACCACCCTGGCGAAGATTATGAGGGCGGCATGTGTGGTCATCGGTTTACGGGTCTTATGATGTCGATGAAATTGGCCAGCCCGACCGGTCTGTGAGGCCAGTGTAGGGTGCGAGCGCAGCTTGTACCCAAGCCACGATACGAGACATATCTGTATATAAGACAGCGGCACAAGGGCTGCACTGCGAGTGTTTCTTATCGTCATTTGATTATGGTGATCTGCGTTTACACGATGACTGCTCGCTTGTCTTCGAGTCAACCATCTATAATAAATGAACGCTGATATCATAATGTGTTTGCCCGCTGGTCTCATTCCATCCGAACCCCAACCTCCCATAACGCCGCGCTCGTATCACACAAAAGAAGCAGAATCATGCAGCACTAAAACCATGCCAATGTCCACAGCGCGGGCAAATGCGGCCAGCGGTCCTGCCAAGCGGCCAGTATATCAGGCACCTGCTCATCAAAGCTGGCCCGGGCGCCGGCGCTGCCACTGTCAAAATTGGCCGCACCGGCAGCTTGTCGTGCCTCCGTGGCGGCAGCGTTAAGCGTGTTGGCCAGGTCTAGGATGGCGCGGCCGCCAACGCTAGCCTCCTCGTGGTTGTCCTTAATGTCAACGTTGATGACATGCACCGGGCGATTCATGGGTGCCCCGCGCGCCATGAGGTCGTCAATGACAGCATCCCAGCACCTCTCTTCACACGTGATGACAATGTCGACAATGCCGCCCTCTACACCCTGGCTGCCACGGTCATCGGGCTTGTCAAGACGTGGCATACCGACCTGCCAGTCTTGCCATCGTTCAGGGCCCCACTTGACGTTGCGATTGCGGTCAACCATGTTGAGCACACCATTTTGCACGTACAGCTTGGGATCCTTGGACTGAAGCTCCCGGTAAATACTGTCGTAGGATGTCTTGTTGAAGTGATACACGTTGGGCTGAGTGATGGATGGTCCAGGCAGGCGCACAAGGGAACCGGTGCCGAATGATATCACGGGGTAATTAGCCTCGGCAAGGCGGAGGTGGGACACCATAGACCTTGAAAGAATTAGCAAGACAGCCTTCTGTTCATGCCAGGTGAGGGCAGCATACCTGTTTTGATTACTGGCGCAGACCGTGCAGAACTTCAGCTTGAATCCTCCGGATTCGGACGTCTGTTCACCATTGCCACTTGGCGCAACGGTCTGCGCTGTGCCGTTTGTTGTCTCCATGCTTCGATATTTGAAGAGTTCAACAGACAGTCTCGGGGTCGTGAGGATACTGTCGCACGCTGCGAATCACTTGGCAGCACGAGAAATCTGACACGTTCGAGTCAGCAACGCCGCGCGAAAGACGTGGTAGCAGGTAAGAGGAAAGAGCGCAGTTGAGCAGAGTTCAGAGGTTTTAGCGTAAGGTAATAATGTGTCAACACGAGGTTCAGACAGCTCCAATAAAGAAATTCATCACGAGAGCTCGGGAAGGGGACTGTTGTTTTCTGGGGGTCGAGTTCTATCATACCTGAATCAATTACCTCCACTGCGAACGTTGTGCCCCATAAAGGATGCGATACGATTATGGCAGCGAGCTTCACTACGCGAAGCGCCTGGCGATGCACAGGATTGATGTGAGAGAGTGAGGAGATCGAGAGTTGAATTTTGTTGTCGGGATGGTGTGGATGTTGCGTTGGGTCGGTGGCGATGTGTGGATAGCTTGATCTCGGTTCGGTTGATTCTCGCTTGAATCTGACGTGCTCCTTCCCTTTCAGAGGGGTTCGCTTAGGTCATCACACTGAGTGCAACCCCCACCATAAAAGCATGCACGAAATGCTGGCTGGCTGTCTTTGATTGCCAATGCCTAACGGGCTTTTACTTGCAGACAACCTGAAACCAATGGTCGCACGAAGAAGCCAATCAGAGCTACTGATCTGGCGGATGCAGGTCAGCCTCCTAAAATAGAATCACGATGTCCCTCGACGAGGTACACAAGTGACTTCTTTGAACCATCAGACTGCATCTTTGCCATAAAAAGCAAGAGAGCTCTGCGTGAGTGGCACAACTCGGCTCTCGTTAATGATGCCCTCTGAAGATCGATCTTCGCCTTCAGATTACTTCCGAACCAGCTCTCGTTTCGGAGCAGCCGGTATGTAAGGTTTGCGAAGTTACCGCATTTGCATTGTGACCCTATACTCGGCTTGATATTTAAAGCCAGTGTTACCGTTCGTGGCCACGTTCCAGTCCAGCATGAAAGCCTGGTATTGACGATCGGCCCACCACGCCAGTGGGTCATATTTGCTGCTTCCAGAAGCACGGTATGCTGATGACTGTCGTTCGAAAAAGCAAAGAAGGCTGGAGGGGAATTCGAGAGCTGCTGGCGTTTCTTGGCCTCGTGATGTTTTCACCGCCAACTCTTTCAGTGTACCTAAGCACGGCAGGACACCAAGCAGCACCAAACACATATGCGAACAGCGATAACCCGAAATCCTCGGGAAGTGCTCCGGGGCGAAGAAACCTGTACCTCACCGCAGCACTTTGCTGCCACACAGGCCAGGCCAGGCAACATGGCGGAGCAACAAGAACAGGAAGCTGATGTCAAGTCGCAATGCAGGGATCCGCTGATTGCTCTCCACCAGAAAGTTGACCCGACATTGGCAGGATTCGCAGTTAGAACCATGTGATTCGCGCAGGGGACTTTTGGCACCCCATGCGGCACTATGGGCGGGGCCATGCGCCGTCTTTCGCGCGCTGGAGTTCTGCTCGAGCTCCGAAGGCCATCCTCTGGTCAATGGCCGAGAGAATCTGGCCTGGGTTTGCTTAGCAAGATTCCCTTTGACCTAAGGGCCAAGATATAGGCGCAAGACAAAACCGACTAGTTCCTTTGTCGTCGCCCGGTTCACTGGTCCATGGCAAGTGTCCCTCGATGTTTCTAGCTTTGAGGGAGAAATTGTGCCCATGGCGAACCGTGCGCCGTAAATGAGCTGGGAAGCAAGAGGAGGGGCAGGAATAGAAGACGATGGCTGGCTGGGGTTGAGCATCGTCCGATTTCCATGGCGGAGCTATACATGTCCATGGGCGGTTGGGCACACACAGAGTGCCGGGCGGCTCAGATGGGCCAGTAGGAGGTCTGCGTGACCGGACGCGCTTAGGTACAGCTCTGGTTCCAAAGACATCTTGCGTGGAACAGGCAGCATAGGTTTGTGGTGGACGACCTGTGGTCAGTAGTAGACACATCAACAGAATACCCTCGTCTAAGGTAGGGACTGGGGCGGCAGAGAAATGGTCATGACTGTGGTTGACAGGCACGCGCGAGCCGTGAGGTGGGCTAGGATAGGCGAGGTAGGTAGACTTGTTACCCAAGGCGGGGGGCGCTCAGAGGACGAAGTGCGGAAGAGTGCGCAAGCAAAGCAGGCATCCCTTGCAGGACCGGCAGCTCCCGCCGCTCAGCATCTTTGTTGCCCTCAGGAGTAAGCAATCTGGTCAATTAGGTACTTGCCTGGGTACCTACCTAGGTAGGCAAGTAGGGAAGGAGGTGGCTACCTGGTAGTACTTCCCGAACGTACCAGCAGACCTAGGTACCTAGGCACCCAGGTTGGTAGGCTTCCACCGACCCACCCCACGCTACCTTGCCTTACCTTACCACCCATAAACAACCCCCCCTCACTCCCCTTCTCAATCGTGCCAGCGACCAGCGTCTCGCTCCAGGGCAGCAACCACTGGTTATCTGAGTGGGTTGTCTTGTGTCTTTGACTCCTCTCTTCCACCACCTCCACCTCGACCTCCTCCACCATCATCAGTTGAACCAGCCGGCCTCGTCCTCCAACATCGCACATTGTCTGAGCCACTCGCTCAGATCAACTCACCTGACGACACCCTTACATGGACTTTGATCTTTAACTTCTCCACACTCCTTAGACCTCTGTCATCTTCTAGCGCTGCCTGCGACTGCTGGCCCATTCGCAACGCCTGGGAGGTTGTTGCTTCCCTCATAATTCCCTTGCCAGCCTCGTTAGGGCTACTCGCCACCTCCCACTTCTCCAGAGACAGGCCAGGCGGCCGAAGCGCTTCGTTGTGGTGCTTTCTCCTCTGACTTCTCGTCTGCTCACATATCATTGCGGTCTATTCAACTTGTGTACGATTGCGCTCCAGATTCGGCCGACAAGTGCGACGCCCCGTCTCTGCCCCAGTGCTCGAACTTGGTTTGGGTCGCCCCCACCAAGTGGCATACCAAACAGAAACCACCAAACCGCCGTGGGACTACCAGGCCGCTTGCTCGACGTTGGCGCCTGACAAGTTTACAGGCTAGTGTCGCTCGGCCACGGAGCCTTGCTGCTGTCTCCTTTGGCGGCGCTCTCGTCGACAACGACCACCTCTCTTCAATCATGGCCGCCACCATGTCGCAAACCCCCTCGCCAGCGACATCCCCTCCGGCAGCCTCTCCGGCCTCGAATCCGAACCATCCTCCGCTTCCGCCTCTCGTCACCTCTCCACCAAACCGGCATTCTACGCTTCCGAGACCGCTCTCCCACGCCTCCAAGAATCGATTGTCTCAATACTCCACCGGGTCCATCCCCTCTCGATCGCGACCGCCCTCTCACATCTTTCCCATGTTTCCATCGAGCCTCCCATACACCCTTGTGCGCGATTTCGCCTATCCGGTTGTGCAGTCCATGCACTATGGACCCCTTCCCGAGCCCTCCCATCCCGCCTCCGGTCTGAGCACGCCCATGAGCGAATCTCGACGACTCTCGGACCCGCCTGCCACCTGGGACTCCAAGATGAGCTGGGAGACAGGTGGCTGGCAGCCCGATGGATTTGGTCGCGGCAACGACTTGCCTCCGATACAATTCGGTGATGGTCCACCCTGGAGCGAAGACGAAGACCTGCAGAGCCCTGTTGTGAGCTCACGGCATCGCAAGCACAAGTCCTCGCATGCTGCCCTTGGCCATGGACGCCATCATGGCGGCGCTT